AGGAACTTCTGAGTAAATTTGGATCATAAGAAACCTGGGGGAGGGTTTAAAGGTAGGGGATAGGCAGACAGGGGAGCAGAGAAAAATGTAGAGATCAATAAACATCAATTAAAAAGATTTTAACGAGCAGCATAGTGGTTCACATTCCAAAGACACTTGACACCAATCGTGATGTCCAACCTGTTTTATCCCCAGAACTCGAATGAAAAAAAAATGACAAATAAATCCAAGTTGTTCTCTAAACTTCACAACTAAGCCATGTCATGTCCACCTAGAAATATGCACACACTTGAACACAACACACAAATGCACACTCACATTGACACAAAAAATTAATCAACTAAAATGTAGTAAAAAAAGGAAAAGAAAAGAAAAACAGAAGAAATAGATACAAGTAAGGAAGTAAGAAACTACTCTAGAATCTGGATAAGAAGGAAACATACTTTCCCCACAGCGTGCAAAAAAAAAAAAAAAAAAATACAGTTTGTCGTCACCACTTCAGCCCAAAAAGTCTTATGATGGAAATCAGAACTTCTGAACTATAGAAAGATAAATCCTTCATATTTAAGTAACAGAGTTTGTGGTATTTATTACAGAAGGAAAAGAAAGACAAGACTGAGTTCTCTGCATTTTCACGTAAGGATTTTCATACCAAAAGAAGAAGAGAACTGAATCTATTATATCTTGCTCTGCTCTGACAACATTTTGATCGTAGTTTCAAGCTCACTGTCTCCCAGGCAGAAAGGAGTTTACAGGTGCAGGGCAGCCTGTGATGCAGGCAGCTGTTGAGATTCTCAGAAGTTTTTGTTGGAGGCTGAAGCACTGTGGGAGGATACTCATTATTTTGCATACAGTAATAATCTGCCAGATCTTCAGCCTGGACACTACTGATGGTGAGAGTGAAATCTGTCTCAGATCCACTGCCTATGAAGCGATCAGGGACCCCTGTGTGCCGAGTGGATGCATAGTAGATTAGCAGTTTAGGAGCCTGCTCTGGTTTCTGCTGGTACCAGCTCAAGTAGTTTTTGTTGTAGTTACTGCCGAAAAGACTCTGACTGGACTTGCAGCTGATGGTGACCTTCTCTCCTAATGATACAGCCATGGAGGATGGAGACTGCCTCATCACAATACCTGCACAGGCACCTTTAATAAGGAATACAAAATGAAGATACATAATATGCAAACACAGAATATAGTAACAGCTGAAGTTTATCTTTTAATAAACTTACAGTGTCACCTTGTCAGTGTATATCTTACAAAATACTGTAAGAAATATTATAGACTAGCACACTCTATGAATTTATTATATACAAAGAATTGACTCTAAAAAGATTATACTACTTTTAAATTTCTCACCAGACACCCAGAGCAGCAGGGACATGAGAACCTGTGTCTGTG